AAAAAGAATTCGCACAAAATTTTCATCACAGTGTTTTGTCGAGCTGACAAAAAAAGTTTCTAAAGGATTTTCTAACTTGTTTTTCTATTCTTCCAAAAAAACTTGTTTTTCTATCTCTTGGGAAACTAAAACATTTTTTTACCAGAGATTGTTTTATTGAGGCTTCGCACCCAACTAGGGGTGTGTTCGGTTCAAAACGGTTCAGATTTTACCTAAAATTAAATTACAAACCAAAGCAAATAGTTTGGTTTGGTTTTATGTTATAATTTTTGGAACCGCGGTTTGTTTGGTTTTCTTTGTTGCGGTTCAGTTTCATTTTTTTATATTTTTTTCCGAAATATTTTTATTGATTAAAAAAATAGTGATTGGAAAACAAAAACAAAATAATAAATTACATCAAACTATAATTAATAGCACTACAATACAAAAAACATGTACTTAAAAAGAGAAAAGAAACAAATGCACTTGTAATCAATTCAAACATTTTCTACCTTAATTAAACACATAAGTTTATACGCAGATTAGCGTATCCACAAGTTAACATTTTATTGATACATGTTGTGTCCGGCCACTAGTTCATTTTCTTTTTTCTAAAAGATTTTCATTGAAAGTGAATGCCTTGTTCTACTTTTCCTAGAAAATGGTATATATGATCTAAAGTTTCATGATGTTAATTATCTAAGGTATAGTATATATTAACACATATTTCTTCAGTAATAAGAAGCTACTCCCTCCGTCCCGTTGGAATGTTCCCGTTCACTATTCATTGGTCAACTTAGATCACTCCTAATCTTTTACTTTATATATCAAATTTTTATCAAATTGAACTTTTCTTGATCAGGCTTTGTAGCGGTTTTAATGTAGTTTCTCAATATGTAAATTTTATTTACTAAAAATAAGCGGAGTGTGAACAGGGATCGAATTGCTTTATCGTCAGTCAAGCATCGTAAACCGAACGGGAACATTCCAACGGGACGGAGGTAGTATATGATTACAAACACAAGTGACTAAAACTATTCAATCCAATAACAAAATATCATTGTCATTGAACAACAATAAAAATGTAAATTACAAATTAAAATATCAACATATTAGTATTATAACAATAGACTAAAGTGTATGTACATAATAAAATCATCCATATCAAATGTCAACATCTTGCAAATCACAATAAATCTAGTATGATACACTAACTTTCTAGAATTAAGAATTAAGAACTAAATAAAATACTATACTTAATGATATAATAAATAAAATAGCATGTTTTAAAAAAATCGGTTTATCCGGTTCGGTTTTCAGAGGTGAAAATCAAAACTGAAACCAAACAACCACAGTTCGCTTTTCTGAGTTGAGTTTTGATTTTCCTGCGGTTCGGTTTGTTTTACTCGCGATTCGGGTTTGTTCGGTTCGTTTTTTGGTTTTGCCGACCCACCCCTACACCCAACAAGATTGCCTATTAAATAAACTCTACTTCACACTACCGCTGTACCACACATCCCATTGTTAATTGTTCTACAACATTATGGCCTTGTTTGGTAATCAACGATTAGCAGTTAGTTGGTTGAATTAGCAATTTTGATCGGATTATTGTTTTAGCTATTTTTACTTGCGAATTGGGTTAGCTAATGCTCTTTAAGTGTTTGGTAAAAGTAGATATTTGTGATTAGGTGTTAGAATGTCAAATTACACTCAAAACATGTATGAGTTTATTCAACTTGTTGGCCCTATAATTATGACATTTTATTACGTAGTACTCCGTATTATTTAGTTTCAATGACATATATCATTTATGAAATGATGTAATAAGATGGGTGTATTATTTGACGTATTGCATATCTATAATTTAGATATATCAAATATATATATATATATATATATATATATATATATATATATATATTCATCCATCCAAACCAAGCACTCCAGCCTAGCTGGTTGCGAGGTTACCGTGCCTAGCGAGAGGTCTCGTGTTCAAATCCCGCTAGGCACACAAGAGTGTGAAACTCAATGGAGTGAGTTTCAGCCCTGATTACTCCAGGCTCCCCCCAGACCCCCTCCCCCAGACCCCCCTAGAGTAATATATATATATATATATATATATATATATATATATATATATATATATATATATATATATATATATATATATATATATATATATATATATATATATATATATATATTCATCCATCCATCCATTCATTATTATGACTATTACTATTACTATTACTATTACTATTACTATTACTATTATTATTATTATTTATTGAGTTATTTAATGTTTTATTTATGTATTAATTTTTTATTTATTTATTTATGTAAGTATTTATTTATTCATTCATTCATTTATTTATTTATTTATTTATTTATTTATTTATTTATTTATTTATTTATTTATTTATTTATTTATTTATTTATTTATTTATTTATTTATTTATTTATTTATTTATTTATTTATTTATTTATTTATTTATTTATTTATTTATTTATTTATTTATTTATTTATTTATTTATTTATTTATTTATTTATTTATTTATTTATTTATTTATTTATTTATTTATTTATTTATTTATTTATTTATTTATTTATTTATTTATTTATTTATTTATTTATTTATTTATTTATTTATTTATTTATTTATTTATTTATTTATTTATTTATTTATTTATTTATTTATTTATTTATTTATTTATTTATTTATTATTTACTTATTATTTATTTATTTTTTCTCCAAAGTGATACAATAATCATTTTTCAGTTATAAAGTTATAATAACTTAAATTAATTGAAAGGAAGAACAAACAAAGAGGACAAAGAAAAGTTTTTACTAATTGGCATCAACACATATTGGAATATTGAATAATCTAATCCTAAACGCTGCATATATTTTGAATTTAGCGTGTTCAAACGTGGAAAATCCTAAGAAAGTGTACCAAGCACATAATCTACTCATAAGAAACTTGGTTGTTGGAATCAAAAAGCTATTCTACAAAATAATTATAGTGAACACATATTTTGGCTAGTCAGCTATTCTACAAATCAGCTAAATATCGTCAAATTAGCCAAAAAGAGGGATAAGTCATTTGCGGAATTAAACAAGGCCTATATCTTCTTTTCTTTTTAGGATGGTTTTCTATTTTCTTCTCATTTCTTTTGAAGTTGCGTGGTTGAATCGTCTAATATTATTCTCATTTTTCTACTTCAATTCAAATCATACATTTTTTTACTTTCTCAAGCAATAAATAGGTTAAATGTAGAAAAATGTGAGATGGTGCAGTACTTTCTATTACTCCCAGACAATATCTACTCTTAAATTTGAACGAGAATAATCCGTTTTCTCTGATTCACATCTCATTTCTAATGCCCTTTTTATTAAATTGACACAGCAAATCCCATGTGAGGAATAATATGGTAAACTAGACCATATTTTACTTCAATCGCATTGAAAAGCAAATGTTACTTATATTTTGGGATTTGGAGTTCAATGCTACAATTTTATTTATATTCTTATATAGGTGGAATCTAATTCTTACTCTCAATGACTAAGTCAGTCTTACGAAAAGAAAATATATATTCATTCATCCATCCATTTATCATTTTCGATCAAAAGGACTGAATAATAATCAAAAAAAAGTTTCCAGTCAATTCTTTTTTGGAATAATGATATCTGCCCCCATCACAAACAAAACTAAGCTCAAAATTACGTTTAATTTCATAACAGTCTTCAAATACATCATTTGAGTCAGTCTTACGAAAAGAAACTATATATTCATTCATCCATCCATCTATCGCTTTCGATCAAAAGGACCGAATAATAATCAAAAAAGGTTTCCAGTCAATTCTTCCTTGGAATAATGATATCTGCCCCCATCACAAACAAAACTAAGCTCCAAATTATGTTTGACTTCATAACAGTCTTCAAATATGACATTTGATCATTAATATCTACATATATACACTTTTAAATCATTATTATTTTGGTGTCATAGAATATACTTCGTATATATTTTGAACGATTATATTAACGACCAAAGTTAACTAAGATTGACTAAAAAATCAAGTTGTGAATGGGGGCAGACTTATACTTGTTCAGTTGTTCGAAAGTGTTTATGTGAATGCCCAATTTTTTTTAACTAATATTACGAGTAAAAACAATGTATATTTGTGTACAACAACATAGTTGATGTACAACTAATATTAGTGTTAATATTTACTCCATTGAACACCCAAAACTTATAAATAAAACAAATTTGAACCTTCAAAATTGATGTCCAATTTAGGAGAATAGTAAAAAGTTTTCATGATTATATTCATATTTTATTAACATATGGTAAAATTTCAAGGCAGCAAACACCTCCTTTATTATTGTAAGGTAAAATATGCATTACAAACCAAAAGTATTATATTATCTCATTTTTTGCTAGAACCAGGCCTTCTTAGCTACATTATACTAATCTTGAACTTCTTAGCTAAAAACACACTTATAGACTTTTGAGAGAGCAAGTCACGAATCATTTGATCAATCTTCTAATTTATACGAAGTATATATGCATGTATTAATATTTTTAAATCAATAAAAAGGAGTATGATTTTAAATTTCAGCCCCGAATGTAAAGTTCTTAACCTCATTCACCTTAACAATATATTTCAAGCTACAGATTTTATACGCAGTATCTAAAATTTCAGATTTTATAATAAGTTTAAAAATAAAAGAATATACGAAGTATTTATTTTTTATAAGGGTATCACATGTTTTTAACTACAAGTTTATTCATTTTCAAATATTTTGCTATACACTATTCAAAAAAACATATAACCAAAAATATAATACAGAGTAGTAATAAAACATTGGTTAAGTTTACAAATAGAACTAATTGTGTTTTATTAAAAAAAACAAGTCTAATAAATAATACAACTCAAATTGAATTTCTATATAAAATCATGGTGTTATATTTTGGAAAAAAGAATGGTGTTGACGTTTGAAGAAAATTTCTCTTATGCAGATCCCCACTTGTAATAACAACAAAACAAATACAACTAAAAAAACAAATACAACTAGTGAAATATATTGCAGTAATTAGTTACGGAGTAATCACAAACTGTCAACCACAATGGTGGGAACATTAATGGGAAAAAAATTGCAAAATACTTGGAGAAGCAATACCCGATAATTAAATGAATTATAATTTATATATTCATAAATAAGCATTATGCGTACAATTAGCATTTTTGAGAACTTAATTATACTCAGGAATGGTAACGAGCACCGGTCGCCACGCCCGCCTAAGCAGCCTCTGACGGATCGTCGCCGATAACGGTCGAGATGAACGGTCCCCGAATATCCGGCCGCCGGAAAACCCCATCGCCTGCGAAAGCCCCATTCTGGCACTCCCCGACGACCGGTCAGCCAACGAAGACGGCGGAGACGATAACACCAAGAAATCCCTGAGCTTGAGCTTATTGTTCTTGTTCCTCACCGTCAGCTCCTTCCCCTTCTCCGGAGAACCTCTGTTTTCTACAATCTGGCCGGAGGAGCGGCCATCTCTGATCGGCAGCCGCCGCACAGTACCGCTCCCGCCGCCGCGGCTGAGAAGCATACGGAGAGTCTTCCGGCGGCGGAGGTGGATAACAGGGCTAGAAGATGGGCTCAGTGTTGGGCTCCCAGCCACCGCACACTGCGTTGCCAGGAGCTTGAATTTTTGCAGAGTCGCCATATATTTATTCTCTGTATTTATAAGAAATTGTACGATTCTCAAATCCCTAGAAAAAGAGGGTCATTTCTAAGAAGGGAAGTTCTCAGATCTGGGGTTGGTTTGGGGAATGGAATTTCCAGAGTATTTTAAATGCTTGAAGAGAATAAGGCTATGATTATGGATCGGAGTGAGAAAATGAGAAGCTATAAAATGCAGGGGAGATAAATGGGGAAGAAACAGAGGAATGGGGAGTCTGAAAAAATGGGCCTGTTTGGGTGTTTTGGGCTTAACCCCAACAATAAACTAATGAGTTCTCAACAGCTTGCTGCGCGTTTATTGGTTGAAATTGCGTATGACGTGATATTCCAGATTCACGTGAGGGAATCTATGCCGTACTAAGCAGGCATTCAGTCAATAAGTGTGATTTTTGTTGAAATTTTTTCTTACTTTGTCTCAATTGCAAGATTGGTATGCAATAGTCAAAAATAATGAAATTGATTGAATTAGATAATTCTATTTGAATTTATAAAGTTATGTGGTTAGATTTGATGATTTTTCTGATTTATGAAAACATTATATTATTTAGTTTTTTTAATACAATAAAGAATTATAAGAAAAAATAGTTAAAATAATCTTCTACTTTAACTCCAGTCAATATAGTCAAAAAAAGTAATTTCAACCTTACATTTTTTTAGTATTAAACAATCCAGCGTGCAAAATAAAAAACTTACGTTTTTGGTGAAAATTGACTGATAAGTCTGATAAGTCGAAAAACAGAATCACCAACCTATGTTATTTTGCCCCCTTTTAACGAAGAATGGTGTGATAACAAACAAAAGTAACTAATGATATAATAACAAAATAAAATTGTCATTCAACAAAAAGAAAAATGTAAATTAATGTCAACATAGAGCACGTTTGGTGACCCTATTTTTCGACTTATCAGGCTTACCAACCATCTTTTTCACCAAACACGTAACTTTTGATTTTTCGCGCTGAATTGTGTAATACATAGTAATAAGAAATGCTACAGTTGGAGTTATTTTTCTAGCTGTATTGATCGAACCTACTGTAGATGATCATTTTAGCTATTTTTTATATAACTTTTTCTTCATTTAGTTGAAAAAAAATTAAATATTCCCCCCATAAATAAGTAAAATCCTCAGTCAAACCAGCCACTTCAGCCAGAACTTCATAAATTTCATCAGAGTCAGTCAATGTAGTTGATTTGGATATTACCAAGCTGGCTCATATAATTAAACCATAAATAAAAAAATGCCAATATCTTTCAAATCACTATAATATAGTATTAAACATTAACTTTGTACAATCAATAATTAAGAAATAAACAAAATATTATACTAAATGATTAATTAATTAATAAAATAGAGTACTTTAAAAAGTTTGCTTTGTTCGGTTCGGTTTTAGAGGAGAAAACCAAAACCAAACAACTATGGTTTGTTTCGATTTTCTTGCGGTTCGGTTTGTTTACTTGCAGTTTAGGTTTTGTTATTCGGTTTCGCTAACGCAATGGCGATGAGCTCCGAACTACGTCGTCCAGGATGGTAAGCTGTACAAGCGACCCTAAAACGGAGCGCTGCTCAAATGCTTAAGACCACACAAAGCATATATGATCATTGCAAAGCTCCATGGCGGAGTGTGTTCGGCTCATTAAGGAGCATGCACGTTGGCTAGGAAGGTTGTCCTACAAGGATACTTCTGATTTACGATCATGAAGGATTTCACTGATTATGCAAGGAAATGTGGCACTTGCTAGAAGTTTCAGAAGAGTCGATGAAGCAGACCGGCAACAATGTTCATACCGCTTAGCACTGTTATAACAACCACCCGTTGGGGAATTTATTTGGTTGGTCCCCTGCCAAATGGGTCTAGGAATAGAAAGTTCGTCATCATAGCCTTGGATTACTTCACAAAGTGGGTTAAGCCCGAACCACTACCCAACATAACACACTTCGAGTGCAAGAAGTTTATCTTGAAGAACACATTTTTCCGGTTTGGATTTCCCCTACAAATCATCTCCGACAATCGAAGACAATTCGATTGCGGACCATTCGGGAAATCTTGTGCCGAGTGGGGCGTGGAGTCCAGCCGGGTATTTTTTTGTTATCCCCAAACAAACGGACAAGTGGAGAACATTAATCGCACAATGGTGGATGTCCAAAAGAAGTTGGAAGCCCTTGGGACCTCCTGAATAACTCCCCAGAAGGCGAATGGCGAGACTCCTTTCGCTCGGAAGCGAGGGCTCTCTTCGAAGCCATGATTGCCAGTTGACGAGTGGGGGAGTTTGAGTCAGCTAGCAACGAGGAAAGGCTTTAGACCGATGAACTCCCCCTCATTGATGAAAGAAGAGATCAGACGTTCATCAAAGTTGAGAATTACCACAGACAAGTGAAGGCATATCAAGACAACAAAGCAGTGCCCCAGAGCTTCGACGTAGGAGACTATGTGTTGATGTTAGACATAGTCCCTCCGTATTTTTTTTCGTTATCCAACTTTGAGTTTTCAAGTCATTGATGCTGAACTTTGACCGATGCTAAACTTTGACCGATGCTAAATTTATATATGAAAACATTTATAATATGAAAAAGATTTTTCTTAGAAATAATATCATCAAACATTTTGTAAATTTTACAAAAATAAATTACTTTAAACGATTGATCAAATTTTATTATCAATAAATGAAAAGGTAAAAATGAGTAAGTAAAAAGGAACTAATAGAGTATCATAATTATAAATACAACCCACAACACAATATTTTTACATTTTCAAAAATATTAGAGAGACACAATAATAATATAATCCTTTTTACATTTGTCTTCTTTCTTCTTCTTTAGAGAGACACAATAAGAATTATGAAGTTACTCTTTCTGAAAGCTGTCTAGCATGTAAGATAAAGTATTGAACATTTACAATACACATTACATTTTGGTATATTGATGGATAGGGGCATGCTACCAAGGTGGATTTAGGAGCCAACCTCGTACACCAAATCTCGAAGTTTGTTTTCCAAGACTTCGGAGCAGATCTTCCCCATCATGCGGTAGAAGGAACTAAGGTCGTAAAGTTGGTCAACGCTCATCTTCCCCATCACCTTCCTCGCCAACCCTTCCCTCTCCTCGTTGAGCTTTATCCTCTCCATGTAAGAGCTTCCATTTCTTACTGTCGCACCCATCTGCTTCAACCTCTTCTCTTGTTGCTCACTTAACACTGTATTTGACTGCAACCACGTTTGTTCAATTGATTCAAGAAATTATTTCACATATTAACTGGGTGAGATTTTCAATTGAAATAATTCCAAATATATAACCAAAATAAATAGTAAAGGACAAAAATGAGACCCTGATAACTTTAGTTACTATAATTGTATCAAAAGTTACATCATAGTGACTATTAAACTTACACATAATAACTTATAGTCACATATTTTTTTCCATAATTTTTTATTAGTAATATTTTAGGAAAAACCTATTTTAAATTTAAGTTCCTAAGTTTCGATTATATCTGTTATTAATATTATAAGTTTGGTATATTTTCACTTGTTAATAGTATATATTGTCATAAGACATTGTCATAAGACCCAGAAGGACCACTCACAAGTCGTAACACCAACCTTTTGTTATCAATATGAGACCAGGTATAGTTGGGTTGCGAGTTGGGAGAGTTTTGAGGGCTTTGCAATAAGCATAGATGTTGGGAAAATTCTCTAACCAGGTATTAGAGAATTGACTCTCAAGGTGAACTGCCCGGGAGTGTATGTTGTCCAGGAATAGGTCAGCAAGACGATCCCATGCTGTTGAGACCGGGGGTTCAATCCTAAAAGGTTAACCAAATAGGAGGAGTAGCCCAAAGCCTTATATAGTGTTTTATTTTTCCATCCTATACAGCTCTTGTATTCTTAGCATCTCAACATTAGTAGCGGATAGAATTGTAGATACCGCATATTATGTAAATACATGTAAAGTACTTTCCTATTTATATCGTTGAATAAGAGGATGATGATTACGGTGAAATTCATAAACTTTAACTTGGTATCAGTTGCCCGGTTATTTCTTCCTCTTCTTTCTTTCGATGGCTTCCTCCAAAAATTCCTTTCACCCGGCACTAGCTATATCCAATATCAAGAACTACATCCCTATCACTCTTGATAACATCGATTACTCCTCCTGGGCGGGATTGGTCAAAATTACCGCTAATTGTTCAAAATTACCGCCCGAGCATACGAAGTTCTTGATCACATAAATCCTTCCACCGAAGCTACTTCTTCTACTACAACGGATTATTCTCTAACCAATGAGCAACACATCGCACGTGACGCCGTCAAAGCTGAGGCAGATGCCTTGTATGTGGTCCCGTCTTGATGCCATTGTACTCCAATGGATTTACGGGACCATCTCTCACGACCTTCTTCACACCATAATTGAGGTCGACTCCACCGCACATGATGCATGAGATCGTCTTGCCGACCTTTTCCACGATAACAAACATTCACGAGCTGTTTATGTGGAGAATGAATTCTCCGATACCCGACTGAATCAATTCCTGAACGTTGCTTCCTATTGTCAGGGTCTGAAAGATCTATCTACCAAACTCAAGAATGTGGGTGCCAAGGTAGATAACGATCGACTTGTTCTTCGTATGGTCAACGGCCTATCCTCCGTCCCGGGGTATGATACGGTAACCTCCCTGATTCAACAACAGGAACCTCTTCCTCTGTTCTCCAAAGCTCGGTCAATGGCCCTACTTGAAGAATCCCGCCGAAATCAGTCCACCTCTCTTTCCACCGCACTACTTCATTCCACCGGAGATGTCACACCGCTAGGACCCTCTTCTTCTCGTGGCGGCCGTGGGGTCTCACTGAGATGGCAATCGTGGACGCTCATCTTTCTAGCGCGGAGGTCGCGAATGTCAACTTGGACGTGCAGACCCCACTCTTACTCCTTAATAGTGGCCTTAGAGTCCTCCTCGGGCCTACTGGTTGCACCCGCCGGCTTGGGCCGCCCCTCCTTGCCCATACCCTGGTTTTGCTTAGAATGGTCAGCCTGGTCCACACCCTTCTTCTGGTGCCTGCATTTTGGGACCTCTCCCACTATAGGAAAACATCGTCGCTACTACACCCACCGACCTGGTCGCAGCTATGTAGACCGTCACTCTGCCCCCCCCCCTCGGCGAACAGTGGTATATGGATACCGGGGCTACATCCAACATGACGGCTCATCCAGATTCTCTCACGTCCTTTTCT